GCACACACAGTGTAGTGACACGCTGACGGCACAAACACGAGGGCATGGTGACATGCTCAGGGTACACACACGGCGTGGTGACACGCTCACAGCACACACACGGCGTGGCGACACGCTCACGGCACACACAGCATGGTGACACGCTCACAGCACACACACGGTGTGGTGACACGCTCATGGCACACACAGCATAGTGACATGCTGACAGCACACACACGAGAGCATGGTGACATGCTCAGGGTACACACATGGCGTGGTGACACGCTCACAGCACACACACGGCATGGTGACACGCTCACAACACACACATGGCGTGGTGACACGCTCATGGCACACACAGTGTAGTGACACGCTGACAGCACACACACAAGAGCATGGTGACATGCTCAGGGTACACACACGGTGTGGTGACACGCTCACAACACACACACAGATGTGGTGACACGCTCATGGCAAACACACGGCGTGGCGACACACTCACGGCACACACACGGTGCAGTGACACACTGACAGCACACACGGCGTGGTGACATGCTCACGGCACACACACGGATGTGGTGACACGCTCACGGCACACACACGGATGTGGTGACACGCTCACGGCACACACACGGATGTGGTGACACGCTCACGGCACACACACACGGCGTAGTGACACGCTGACAGCACACACACGGCATGGTGACATGCTCACAGCACACACACACGGCGTGGTGACACACTCACGGCGTAGTGACACGCTGACAGCACACACACGGTGTGGTGACACGCTCACGGCACACACACGGATGTGGTGATACGCTCACGGCAAACTCACGGCGTGGTGACACGCTCACGGCACACACACGGCATAGTGACACGCTGACAGCACACACACGGCGTGGTGGCACGCTCACGGCACACACACAGCGTGGTGACACGCTCACGGCACACACAGCATAGTGACACGCTGACAGCACACACATGAGGGCATGGTAAAGGCAGGCTCCTCAGTGGGGCCTCAGGGAGCTCCCCAGCAGCAACCACAGCCTGCCCGCTGCCTTCCCCTCCTCTGATGTCAAAGGGCAGTGTCCCCGGCACAAGTGCTGTGATAACACCCCGAAAAACTAGAAAGCCAGCAAACTAACAAGGAGCAGAAAGCACATGCTGGTGACCAGGGAGCCCAGGAGGGGAGGCTGTTGTGGCAGGGACGTTGGGACTTGCTGGTTTGGGCTCAGGCAGACATTGTCCTCACTCCCAGTGTCCTGAAGCTCCACCAGGAAATGTTTTGCACTTTGTCAAAAGCCCTTCTCCTCTACTAACGATGATAATCTCATCTGCCGACTTTGAACCAGCCCTGCATCAGAAACAAAGGACCATGTCGCCTGCCCCACGTGTCCCGGGGATGGAGGTGGGGGGTGGTTCTGACCCAGTGTTGCCTGACCCATGAGTCTCCGGGGTCTCCAGGTTGTCCACCTAGCACTCTTTGGTCCTGTCCAGGGCTGTCCACCCAGTGTGCCTCTGTGGGTCCTGACCTGGCCACCAGGGATGTCCCTGTTAGTTCTGACCAGGGTCTTGTGTGTCCCCGTGTGTCCTGGGACATCTGCCTGGAATGTCCCTGTTTTTTCTGACCATTCCCCCCCCCCCCGCCCCAGCCCCGTGTGCCTGTGGGTCCATCAGTGCTGGCAGGCCACCCCATGTGTCCCTGTCAGTTCCTGGGGGCCCCTGTTTGTCCTCACAGGGCCATCCTGGGTGTCCACATCAGTGCTGATGGCCCCCCATGTGTCCCTGTCAACTCCCGGGGGGGGGCCCTTGCCAGTCCTGACCAGGCCGCCCCCGGTACCAGGAGGCAGAGCTGACTACTCAGGGCTTCCCTGGCTGTAATCTTTCCTCTTGAGCACTGCGGGCAAGGTCGTGGCATCCACCTTGCGGTCAGCTGTCCACTCAGGGACCACGGTCTCAACCCTGAGGACTGTAAACCCCTTCCACACAGGCACATTCCTCTGGGTCAGGTCTCCCGGGGCGGTCTGGCGTCTGTCCATGCTGAACCCTGCTGTAATAGGCAGGAATTCAGACACAATTTAGAACAAGTGGGTTTCTACAAAGCAGGATGAGAGCCCTGGAGAACGGCCACGGGGGGGCCACTGAGACCCGCTTGCCCTGGGGGGACGTGCCACGTCTTGGGGAGCTGCAGTTGTCAATGTGAAGAGGCAGAACCTCGGGTGGGAGGCCCCTCCCTGTGGCTGGGCTTTGCAGCAATCACCAGGGGACCCGGCGGCCTGGAGAGCAGGGTTCTGCCTGCGGACAACGCCCCTTTTCTCAGGGCGTGGTGGGCTCCCTGCCTTCTGTTCCTGGGAAACCTTCCCTGACCCGACTGGCTCCCCCATCTGCAGGCGGGAATGCCTCTCCTCCGCGGGTGCCCACAGCCCACAGCAGGTGGTCCTGGACAGCCTCCTCTGCGATTTACTGCCTCTGAACAAGGGTCGCTCTGGGAACACAATGCTATAGCCGGAGTAAATCCCTGAGTGCGGCCAACCGCCAACATCTTCTCACCCAAAAGGTGAGAAGTTCAAGTACGTCAGGGGCACCACGCTTCCAGAAATCAGCTCCCAATACTCTCTGTGCACAGGCCTATGCTGCCACGCGTGGGTCGAATCCACGCCAGAGCAAATGGCTTGTACTCTAAACAGGGGGAACCCCGGGCTTGGCCAGATCAGGGGACCTGGCTCTCAGCTGCACCCCTGGTGGAAGGCCACGCCTCCCAGCATTTGCCTGAGCAGGCTCTACACCCGGAGCCCCTTCTCCGCCCCTGGACCCCTAGTCACCCCTCGGCGCCCGCCTCCTCCAACCATCGCCGGCCTCTGCCGCGAGTGTCGCTCCACGGGGTGCGGAGGCTCCCCCACTCACCTCCACGAAGTAAAAGCAGGGCAGGAGGGTCATGCTGTCCTTCGGGGTCCGGCCCTTCTCCTTGGCCGAGATCATGGTACAGCGGGAGCCTCCGGCCGTCGCTTGAGGGGGACAAAGCCGCGGCCGGAACGGGGTGCAGGCAGAGGAGGCGAAGACCCGGTGAACGCGCCGACGCCGCAGGGAAGGCCGAGGATGCGCAGGAGCCCCCAGGGAAACTGAGGCTGGCCAGAGGCGCGCCTCGGCCCTACCCACCCATCGGCTTCGAGGATCCCGCAGCCCGGCAGGGGGCCGGCCTGGCTGGGCTGAGCTCTCAGCAGGGACCCGGCCCCGCAGGGGGACGGGGTCTCAGGGAGAAGGGGGTTCGCGGGCGGGCGGCGGTGGGTGCAGGCCCGGCCCCTCTCA